CCTAATATAATACTCTTTATTTATCCTTATTACTAATATAATACCCTAAGCCACTCAGACCAATCTCACTAAACTGCTCCTCATTTTTTTTTTTTTTACAAAAATTGTTTAAAACTATATATACCTTGAAGTACTTACCACTTAGTTTAGGACTTGGTGTTCCCAAAGCTGGTCTGGGGTCCTTCACTAATATTTTGGAACCAGCTGTTAGAAAGAATGAATAACAAAGACAAATCAGTAGCAAAATATTACTTAGAAATTAAGAAAATAATTTCCATAATGGAATGTATTTTCTAAAAAGCATAAAAGATGATGTTTCAAACTCAAATATGAATGAGATTTCAGTCAGTACCAAGCCTTAGTATCAGAGGAACCCTTTCCCACAGATTTTTTCTTTTACCACACTTCCTCCTAAGTCGGTCACCTGGATGTTATCAAGTAATTTGCAATAGTCAAACAGTGCAGGATTTCAGTGCAGAATCCATGGTTCAGAATTTACAGTCCTAGACTGTGCACCTATATGCGAGATGCCTTCTAATATGCCATTAACACTGGCTATGCCACTTAGATCAGGAACTGTGAACGGTGCTTTGATTGGAAGCAAGGTAACATCAAACAGTGAAGACACACATAACAAGGGTGCTTCAAATCATGTTTCTCTTCAGGACTTTATCACATTCTAATAGTACTGAGTGAGACATCTTGAGTTCAAGATTGAAAACCCATAAATGCTGGCTTAATCTCAACATTGAAAGAGAAGGTTTCTTAAAGAATAACAACAGAAACAAAAGAAACGAAAGAAGCTGTCTACAGTGTCTCCAACTGCTCAGGTGATAGGAGAAATGCAAGTTGGAGAATTAATTATCTTCTCTGCTTAGAGCAGGAACTCTCCCACCACTGAGGATGATGAACTGAACGCAATAGGACAGTGTAATTTCCTGTAGATTAAGCTATTTTATTTTGCTGAAAGTAATTTGGATTCACTGGAACATAAAGAAGACACATAATTCTTTCTCCTAATGTA